TTTTCCCCATTTGGGGAACTGATTTGCATGTAGAAGTCTTTATTTCTCCCATCAAGTAACATTTGGTATGATAAAATAATTAATCTGCCACAGGGACATGGAATCTGAAATTCCTCAGCTCATATTTCCTTTAAGAAATAGGCTCAAGTGAGGCTGTGTACCTTTAAGGCTGTCTTAGTACTCTGAAATGTCTTCCGTGTTCACCAGAGCAAGTTTTCTCATCGCATTTGTCATTCTCTTTGCAAAATGTGGGCCGTCTTTCTGCACCATCAGCTGCTACAGCACATTTGCTCATGTTCCAGACACCGTGTGAGTGTGAAGATTTGCAATGATTTGCCATGAAAACAAAAAAAACAAGGTGGCTACATCACAGATTTGAGACTTTCTACAAATGCTGTTTAACTGGGGAAGAAGGCTGCTCGCTTTAGTGCTGAACTAACAGACACACACACACACACACACACACACACACACACACTATCCTCGGAGGGAACAGTCCATTATCGCTGGTGACAAACATGAAAAGCAAACGATGAGGAGCTATAGTCGTGGGGAAAAAAAAAATATCACTCCTGCAAGAAAAAAAAACATTTAAGATTCTGACTGCCTGCAAGAATCTCTTCGGCATCTCGCCACAGTCTCTCTTTTCATTAGAGCAACTCCAAGAAATGTCAAGTAAGATAACCCATTATCTTTGCTGTTGACAATAACATACACACACAGAGACACACACACACACACACACACACATCTTACCAGGCTCCCTGGCTACAGATTCTTGTATATTACTTTGCAAGTGTGATTCTATTGCTTCATTTGCCACTTCTCCTGCTGCTGACAAGTGACATCCTCTCTTTCTACTAGTCGGGATTGTTTAAACATCATGTTAAGCATTGACAGTTTGTCTGTGATTTTAATCTAATGGAGAGATGGATAAATGAAATCATTCAGTATGTATGGGATTTATATTTTGAAACTCTCAGTCCTCTGGTTTCCATACCCTGTGAGTCTAAACAAATGTTGAAGCTAACCTTGCATTATGAAGAGGAAATCAGCACTAGATAGGCATGACATATTGTGATTATTGTCAGCCCTTATTGGTAGCACTTGATCTACAAGATACCATTATTACCTTGCAAAAGCAATTCAGATTTTAGAACATTGAAAATGTCTGCAGGAATACATTTTCTATTACCATGGTGACAAAATGTAATTAGTCCCGCACCTGCATGCAAGTCACAAAGAGGTTGAAATTGAATGTTAAATTTATATATCTTTTCATTATCTTTATGTTTTAATGTTATGGTTAAAATGGCATTTTTTTGCACTTTCTCATTGGCTTCATTATTCAACAATATAACTTGTTTTAACTAGTCAGCTTTAACACTTAAATTGGGATGAGATGGTGAGGTTAATTAATCGTGATTAAACGCACAATACTGTAATGTAGATTCCACCACCAATCAAGACAATAACAAAAGATGATGTCTAGGCTGGTGGGGAATAATGGGAGTAATTCTCACTGTTACTCCACCCCAAACCCCCTCTAAAAACAAACTCCAAGATGAATGTGCAAAACAGACCTGAGGAAGAGAATATGTTTACCTCCAATGTATCCAAGTATAATTTATATCCCAGCAGCACATTCAGCAACAGTACGGGAGCTTTCAGTAGCAGTTAACACTTCCTTATACAGCCATCTAAGACGTAACATCTGGTGTTTCCATGGCAACGGTAAATAAGTTGACATGTCCTGTTACAACTATAAAATTACGTAATTCTATGGCTCTGATAACTATTGGAAGTATGTTAGGTACTGTAAGTACTCAACAAAGAAAATATAACAATAATAAATTAAAGATATTTTAGTGTAAAAATTCAACATATTACACTTAACTATTGAAATTCAGAGATTAATAGTGATTTTTTTTTTATACTGCAGCCCTAGTTTTGACCATCTAAGTTACCACTAATTCATGTTTTTACAATTCATACTTCACCAAAATGGTCATGATATCCTGAGTACAAAGAATAGGTAGTGAATAAATAAAGGAACCGTTGTGTTGTAGGAGGCTGAGATGTCTCAGGCTCGCTGGGCTGCAAGGAGCAGATTTTCTCTGGCTCCACATAACACGCAGGCACAGAGGAACAGCTGGGCTGTGAGCATTCATGTCATGTTGAAGGCTGAACATCTGAATCTATAGAGAAGCAACGCATGACTCACACCGCTGAATGCTTAGTGGGAAGTGTGAAACCGACACAATTAAAACACACATACAGAGCTCGGCTCCTTTTCTCCAGGCTGTGAGGTGTGCTATATGTGACCTAACCGGCTGTGGCCTCCTGATAAAACAGGCTTGATTGGGGTTGGATCCTGTCAGGTCACGGGTTAGCAACCTAAACCTCTGCAGTCAATCAGGTAGAAAAGCAAGCAAGGCTTTATTCAACAGATTAAATACTGGCATTGACCATAAATAGTCTTGTTGCTATGCTAACACAAAAGCTATAGATTCATATCAGCTGGAGGTAAACGGCTTGCGTGTAGGATGATCATGTGAAACATGTGTTAGAGGTGTGTGTGCTTCAGTCATCTTTACATCAAGGTTGTGCCGTTACAGCTTTGCCTGACACATTTGTTTTGTGAAATGTGTTTGAAAAAAAAAACACATTACAGAGTTGAGGTAATGTGTAGTCAATGGGTGATTTAACTTCCCCCTTAACGTATGTGCGTATGTATGTAAAAAATCAGAAATTGACCTTCTTATTCTGCATTAGCATCTGATTTTGCACATAAACAGTCAGAGATTTAGAGTCTATTTGGCACATTTGTGGCTGCAAATAGTTCACAAAGATTGTTTTTCAGTGCCCAGTAATCCTGTTTCCTGTGACTCTGGTTTATGTTAATTACCTTCCTGTACAAAGCAAAACACCTGGGGCAGCATGCATAAAACTCTGGTTTGATACACGTCTTGACCCATTTTTTTCGGCACAACAAATACATTTAGGGACACATTCTTTAAGGTAGATCTGGAAAGATGCAGGCACACATCATGTTTGAGCCTAACCTACCCTCTCCAACAATCAGCCGTTTATGAACATGTGAATGCATAGAACATATGTTTGCAAATCAGTTCTACGGTAGCACTCATTACAACTGGGAATGAGAAGAAAACATAGGAGGAAGAGCAATGTCAACAGTTGTAAAGCATGGTAATGTTGTGCAACAACTGTCATTGCAAACAAAGATTATGAACAGCTGAGGCTGTTTACTGTAGCATTTTGGCTATTTCATCAGATCCTGTATACCTGTAATCTAGAGGTTGCATTAGACCTTCCCGCTGTCTCTTTTTTTTAAAGGGTGGTAAAAATGTGGTTATGATGTATGATGATCTGTCATTTGAATTAAAATTTTCAGATGATGAAATCCGGTCTGTTGCTATCACTGGATCACTTTCTCAACAGACAATGAAATCACATCTCTTGCTCTGTGTACTGGCTGTGTTGTTAGTATTAGACCAAACAGAAACCCACAGCACTTGTTTGGTTAGCTTTTGCTAGCCAATGCTAACCAACTACTCAGTTACTGTGATGCCCTTATGCTAGCATAAGCGAACGCCATCGCTTGCCCTATGCTAGGTTTAGCTGTAAGCATTAGCTAAATACAGTCACTGATCATCTGGAGTGGAAATGTTTGAGACAGATAGCGTATTCTTTCAAACTCGTCTGTGCTGGAAAGAAAAACACATTTGTATTGTTGTTGTTGTTGCTCTGTTTGTCTACATCATTCTCCTTCTTCCTGCATCTCCCACTATCTCACTTTCCAAGCCCAACCATTTCGGCCGATGGCTGTTCAACATGAGTCTGGTTCTGCTTGAAGTGTCTGCCTCTTGAAGGCAGTTTTTCTCTGCCACTGTAACTTTGCTAAATGTTGCCTTGTGCTGAGCTCATGATGGATTTTAGTTGGGTCCTTGTAGATAAAGTAAAAAAGAGTAAGGCTTTCAGCTGCTCTTTTGTGAAGTATCTTGAGATTAGATTTGTTATGAACTGGTGCTATACAAATAAAGACTGACTGACTTGAACCCTTCATAAGACATTATCCTTGCTGTTGTTTTGCCTGAATGTAACTAATGTTCACCAAAGTTTAGACTTATTTGTGGTAAAATAGTCATAAAGGTATTGTGGTAAAATTGGGTGCAGTGGTCCTTTGTTTTATAGTTACACCTGCCCAAATACATGGGTGTTTGGGAAAAGTAGACAGCAAACTTGCGCAAGTAATCCATATAAATGCAGAGACTCCCATCAGTCTGTCCCGTACACAACTGTGCAAACATTTGCCGTGTGTCATAGGATGGTGTTGTAAACATTGTCAATATGTGGGGGATTTCCCCACATATTGACAATGTTGTGCGAGAATGACTTAACCGATTTAAGCCAATAATTAGCAAAATGACAGCCACCCTTCATATTTTTCCAACATTGTTCAACAATTTATTTTAAAGACGGAAACTGGGTCATGTGACCCCTGTGGTTAACCATCATAGCAATCAGTTAAAACAATTGCTTAACAATTCAGGGTGATCATTGACAGGCCATGGTTAAAATGTCAATACATGAAAGATGAAAACCATCCCTAATACTTTCAATTATATAAACAGTATATTGTTATTAATGACATTTGGTTGCTATTTAACTTAATGTGTAGGGAAACAAATAGTAAAAGGTGTATATTAACATAAAACCAACATTTTACCATTATTTTACTTTCAGGTATCTCTGTAAGCCTGGTTTGACTGATGAGTAAGGTCTACATATCATCTTAGTCTTTTCATATTAACATGAGTGTGTGTTCAGGAACAGGTTCACACAATTTCCCTTTTTCAGCACCAAAAAACATCTCACATCTACACGTCTTTACTTAGGCTACAGAACCTCACTTCAAAATACTTCCATTTGCAACCAATCCATTCAAATAAAAGCCAAGAACCAATGCTCCGTCTTACCTCTTGGTGAATGATGCTTCCATATGATGTTGGCCTCGGGTCGGCCGACTGCCAGGCACATGAGACTGGCGCTGCTCCCCTCGTTCACTGTGACGTCTCTGGATATGTTAGTGATCCTGGCGGGTACTGCGGAGAGAAAGACGACCATGATTGATGTTTTGAGCATAATTAATGACTCATAAGAAAAGGGGCTCTCTATTCCACATGATCAGAGCAGTGATGAGGTTAAAAATAATAACTCAATTAGCATGAAATTAGCTGACAAATTTGACAATTCTCTGGCTTGCTATGGTGCTATACATGATTGATTTTCCCTCATCTTTGCCACACCGCTCATTAGACAAGCATCAGACTGACTTCGGGTACGAATAATTCCATCTCTCCAGTTGGACTAGCTTGTTCAGTGTGTGTGTGTGTGTGTGTGTGTGTGCCATGGCATGATAATACCTTGTAATAATTGATAGGGCCAGTACTGTGAAAATACACACTTTTTTTTGTGCCTTAGGACTACGGATGATACGGATACGTTTTTTTTAATGTCCGCCATTTTTGTCAGTTATGTTACCATTAGTAAAGGTAAAACTTCTGATTCTGAGGTTCTGGAGTCTCGGCTGTCAATACGATGTCAGTCTGCATCGTATTGATTGAAAATCAAAATTTACAGGAAGTACGTTCTCTGCTAAGTTCTATATGTCAGGACATATGTTCAGGCTGATAACAGGGACTGCAGGCTGCCATGTTGTTCACACACTTCACAGGTAAACCCAGTTACCTTCAAACAGATGATCAGATGACGTTTTTGTCTGGTGTCCCTCCATCTCTGTGCGCAAGGACACCCTCCCTCACTCTTGCTCGTCCATTTGAGTGCTCTCTCCCTCTTAGAAGTTTGTTCTTAAGTAAAAGAAAATCTCTGCCTGACAGGGTGATCATACATCTTTGATTTCTGCAATTATATTGAAAACCTTCAAAGCACCTCTATGTGTGCACAGTGATAGAAAAAGCTCTGACCTGCTTTGAGTTGTTTCAATCTGCAATCTGTAATAAGTTACACACTATTATCGTAAACAGACAAAAAAAGCGTTCCTACATATCTTTGGACATTGTTTTAACATTTTTTGTAGGCTCATGGTTTTTATTGTGCCATATTTTGGGGGTGTTGAAGCCCCCTCAGAACCCTTACTTTTCGTGTCCATTGATAGAGATTTTCTATTACAAATCTGATCCAGAAAAATCATAATCCAGTCACACAAATAGTGACATCACGACTAAGGGCGCGGTCACATAAAGCATGCATGTGTTGTATGATGACGTTATGTACAAGAGGTAATCGTGCTTAGGCACAGATAGTCCTGGCCAGTGTGACCGCGTGCTGTGCCGGCCAGCAAGGGCATGGCGCAGCGGGGGGCCAATCGTGCTTCAGTACGGCATGGTACGGATAGGCAGTGTGATTGCGCCCTTACATTTATTTTATAAATACAACTGTACTAAGCCTCTTGGCATAGCTTTCTAATAGGTGTCCTGCTAAGCCTTCATGCTGACAATATCTAGAAATAAAGTATTCCATACAAGTCTGTGCTGTTAACAGCATTGCCAAATAAATATCATAATAAGTTTATTACGGGTAAAATGCAACATGTGGTGCTTTTAAGGGCTTCTGTACAGGGCGGGGAGAAGTTCGGTGAGGACACAGCGGGCTGCACTTTCTCAGCCACACAGACCTCCGGCAGAGATGAATGAACGGGCATGTGTGTGCAGAGCAGCTGACAGGTCCTCCAGCTTGATAATGCCAGTGGCAAGGTGATTAAAAGCACAGCTCCCCTGCCACCGGGGCTGCTGGGCGGTGTGACTGGAGGCCTGGGGACATGTCACTCTTCATGTAGCCACAGCCGAGGGGTTGCAGCCAATAATTAATTAGAAAATGGAATCAAGAGGCTTGGAAATGGATGCTTTCTCTGGTTTGTTTGTTTAACAGTTGGGATCAACTGATATGGTTGATTTACTTTAAAAGAATGTGTATGTTTGTATCCATCTGTAGTTGTGCTGTTAAATATTTTCCATTGACAGAAACAGAGGCAGATGCATGGATGTGCCACAATGTGTCGTTATCTGCAAGGCACAAGAACACAGCGGTATAGCAAGCATTGTTACGACACAGTGCATTGTTGTCGGTCACAATATGAATTCAACCATATTTTGCATTCTCCCAGTCAAACAATACAATGGTGTCATGTGTTGGGGATCTTTTGGCTCAAACTTTCCCTCATGGGAATGTGGACAAATTTCTAGAAATGAGATTTTTTTTTAAGGGTCAGTAAGATAAAAAATAAAAGTTTTCAAAGTAGGCTGGGCAACAACTTCCTGCATGCCTCCTGGGAGTCACACCCCCCTCCCTCCCTTACCAAGGTGGTGAAAAAAGAGATCCACAAACTTTAGATGCAAAGGTAGCAACCACTTCACAAGATGTATTGCCTTCAAACTTGGAATGTATGAGTAAAGCAATATCTTCTGAAGCAATAAACATATGGTGAAACTGAGCAATAAGGGAAAGAAAGCCTGAGTACATAATAAACAACATAAGACAAATTTCACTTTTTTTTAGCAGAAAGTTTTCGGCTTCTGTCTACCCGTTCATTTGGAAAAGTGTTGATAGTGTCATAAAGTTACAGTCGGTTACTGAAGGTGTAATCTGGTTGCTGACAGGAATAGGAGGATTGTCAAAACATCTCTCAATCAGAAGGTTGCTTCTGCTGCTTCGTCAGCTGCGTATGAACATGAATGGGATTAGTTACCTCTGATGTACACTTTACACAGCAGCCTCTGCCATCAGTGTGTGAATGGTGTGACTTGTAGTGTAAAAGTGCTTTCAGAAGTCTAGAAAAGTGCTATACAAGCTCAAGTCCATTTACCATTTACAACACTCACAGGGAGGCCTGGGTAAAAGTGGTACAGTCATGGTACTCCACAGCTCGAGACATGCAGACACACTTCATTTTATTTAAAATATTAAATTGGAATTACTGGACTCCTTTAAAAATGTCAAGGTTAGGGCTTAAGGAGGAGGATAGCTGCTGGAGATGGAATAAAAAACGCTGATCAATATGCTGTATGAATGCGAGATGGTACAAGACTTTTGGTCAGAAATTGTCAAATGTATTATCAATATATTAAAAATAGAGCTCATTCAGTGTCCAGCATTATGTTTATTAGGTATCTTACCAGTGGATGCTAACCTGTCCTCCAAAGTGTGTTCTTGGGTAAAATGAACCTTTCTAATGGGGCGCAGGATTGTGCTAAGGAACTGGAAGTCAAAAGAGAAAGTCAGACCTAAGGGGTGGAGAGATGAGTTGGCTCGGATGGATTCAGCTGAACAGCTAAAAAATACAAAATTAACAGCAACACAAAGGTTTTTTAGATCTGTTTGGGGTCCCTATCTGGCGATGAGTGGCAGAGATGATCATAATGATAAATGATGTTTAATGCTCAGTCCTTTTCTGTACATCATGTAACAAGGTGTGCTAAGTGAATGACTATGAGGTATAACTTTGAGATATGACAATCTGTCATAAGTATTGCCAAGACTTGCATTGAAATTTGTATAACATGTGTGAATTTGTGGTCTATGTTATAGCTGAGAGACACAAGAAAAAAACATTATCGGACAAAAAGTGTCCTTATGAAGCTTATAAACTAAATAAATAACAACAGAGTGCAAATACATCAAACATGAAGCTAGATGGATGACCAACCTGCTGACTGGTAGCATCCTGTAAAACATACCTCAATGAAACTGACAGGGAAAGTAGCCTAGTTGGACAGAAATTGTTACCGCAATGGATGTAGCAGGTAGCCGCATTTAGCTTAACCATCACAATGTAACATAACATAATCAATTCTTCCTGCTTGTCGTCTGCCGTGTTTGTTAACTCTCAAATCATGTTTGATCACGCAAAATTACGAGTTTTGAGAGAGGAAAGAATTGCTGTTGGTGATTGAATATGTTAGTGTGTGGTGTGCTGAGTTGGTCATCTTGTTGCACACCACACACTATAAGAACAAAGCTGTAAAATCTGTCATGATCTGCCATCATGTAAGGGGCCTCAAACATTAAAAAAAAGATTGTATTGTGTGCCAGGCTTTAGCTACAGTTAATGGACTATTTGTCGCGCGGAAGAAATACATAATTTTCAAATCAATCTTTTGTCTCAAATTATTGATATCTTATAGGTTAGTGGCCATGTAATGAGTGAGATAATGTATAGTGGGTGGGTTGTTATCACAGCAAACACCATCTGCCACTCCTGCTCGACCTATACTGGTTCTGTTCCGCCACAACAACACAACAAATCACTCTCTATACATCATCTCGTACTCAAAGGACTTTGACACAAAAATACTCCAAAAACATACATAAGAACAGTACTATATTTGTTCTCTGGCAACTTATCATTACAGTCCACTAATCAAAGTCATGAAGAGACCATTCATTAATAAATCATTAATGATCCAGTCTTTCCTGATTCCTTCCCTCCCCCTTCCTGTGTAATTACTCACAGCTTAACTCATTGAGTGCTCATTATACTGCCTCTTTCAGAATATTAAATAATTACTTGTAAAGTATATTATTAGATTAATAAAGACACAATATAATCCGGTGAGTCATTTGATGTGAATTCTTTGTTGAACATAGTAAAGCTGTGATGTAATGATTAGTCCAAGGCTGTGAGATATTACAGTATTGAAACAGAGGACACAGGACAAAGAGAGAATGAAGGGATTTAACGGGCAAAGCAAACAAGCAGAGAAAGATGGTCAGCAGAGAGAGCATGTTCAACTGTTTGCTTAGTGTAGATGTGAAAGCTCCAAAGATGCATTACAAATTATTTAAAAAAGCTGCAAACTGTTAAATAAAAAGGAGTTAACTCATGGCTATGGCTCAGTCGGTAAAGTTGGTCGTCTCTCAACCAAAAGGTGGGGGGACGGGGGTCTACTGAGGAAAGACGGCATGTAAAAAAAAATAGACCTGGAAGTAGTGGATGAAGCAACAGATTCCACTATACGATGCTTTAATGAGAATATTTGTCTTTATATCAATGCTACGTGTAGTCCAATGGAATGACACTATCAAC